AGCCATCCCATTTGTGGTACATTCTTGTCAGAGTGGCACTAGGTAACCAGAACACCACAGAAAGGTCCAGCTCCTTGGATAGACTTTTAAAGCTCTCTTCCACCTGGCCTCAATGTGTCTTTCCCATTTCCCACTATACCTCTTTGTGCATCTTCTGATTCAACCCCACCTGCAACCTCATTATCTCTTGAACATTTTGCCAGTCCTTTCTCTTGAAATGCCTTCACCCCTATCTAATTTTGCCCCAAGATCAGATTTAAGATCATGAGTCGTCTGTCTATCTCCATCTCTGTGTCTGCATCATTTATTTGGATGCCTCACAAAAGTCTAGAACAACATATATTTGTTGGGATAATGAATTCTTTCAGAAACGGTGTGCTCAGTTTCCATAACAACCGAAATAGCAATTGGAATTCCTGGACTGTAACTAACAGGCAGGTTGTTACTGCTGTCTGTTTCATGCACGACAGTTTCAGGTTAATGATGAGCCTAATCAGATGCTCCTTTCTCCATGTAGCTACTACTTCCTCACTGAGAACAAGCAACAGCAACATTTTCCCCTAAGCTCTTGCTGTTTCTTGCTCTTGTTCAGGGCAACAGTTATAAATGGGGCAGGTAATAATACTGGCCTCCATCTGAGTAGAAGACAATGTACTGTCTGGACCAAAGGAAAAGGTGGCAAGGAGAAACTAGTGGACCCCTTGAATGTTGTATGAATATTACCTCTTTTTTCATTAAGAAAGCAGCTCAGTCACTGTATATAGAGTAATATCTTCCAAAGGACAAATAAGAGGTCTCACAGGGTAGGGCCAGATGATCAAAATGGTTGAGAAAAAGTTCTATGGCCTTTGGTTGTTCACACACAAGGTATAAGAACCAGTGCTGATGTACAAGGCTGAGATGCTGTCATTGCTGAAAGAGGAAAATGATTTGGAAAATATAAAGATATCTTTTAAAGAGCCTCAGTATGTCCCATTAGCAACCTCCTACAATTTTTCATAACTTTTTCTTCCTGTATTTTTATCCTTTTTGTTTTTACCATTGATCATTATCTTACTATTATCCAAACTATTTTCTCCTTCTTTTTCCATTCTCCATTTTTCATTGCCTGTCTATGCCCTAAATGTGACTTAACCTGAATTGTCACTAATTCATATCTAAAGACTTCAATTTGGAAACACATCTGACTTTATGGATGAGGTCTGATGTTAATGGCGTAATGATCAAGACATTTCTCAATGGCCTGAGCTTTCAGTGTGTTGAGGACACAGATGGCCCTGTGTACTTTGGCATTGGTGCTATTATAAACTATTTTTAGTACTAAGCTTTGACAATGTTTTGTGCTATTCTGTTTCTAACTGCTGCATAACCAGTCCTATTTACTTCCATGAGGAAAACTAGAAAAATGAGATTTTTGCTTAAAACCCAACATTTCAATATCTGTCATTATTCCACTGTAGCTCTATTATCATTTCATTATTACAGTTATAAATTAATTTAATTTTTAGAGAGTATCTACTTCGAGATCAAGATAAACATTTTTTAATGAAAATAACTCGCATATTTGATTAAATTAAAAATTAGAAACAAACTTGGCTGTTTAAAATTGATGTTGTTATAGTAAAAGCTGGCATTTATCCAGCACTTAACACATGTCAGGCACTGTACAAAGTGCTTGTTAATGCTATCTCATTTAGTTTTATAACCACCCTTTGGAGTATTATTGTTATCCTGCCTTTACAAGTAAGGCTCTAGTGAGTTAAATAATTTCATGGTAAGTAGTGGGTCTGGGAAAAGAAATTTTATCTTTGGAAATAAATGCTGTCAGTTATTTTCTTTGATAGGCTCAATCTATTTTCAAGAAAATGCATGGCAGATACTCAAATCTAAAAAACCAAAGTTTGCCTGTTAGTTGATCTTTCAGGTAAAAAAAATGGTGTTCTATTTAAAAAGCAAAAGTTTAGTAACTCAAACAATCACACAAGCAGTTTTCCATAAGACAGCCATTATACCTGGGTGTGCAGAAGTGTCTATCCATACTTTCTATTTTGTCACACAAAAGATTAAAATGATATACATTCAGTCAAAATTAATAAAAATTTATTTCTTTTTACTGTTTAATTGAGGACATTCTAAAGAAACATTGGGTTTTTTAGTTGTTTTTTGAGGTTTTATTTTTTGCTGCATGTACATGGTGATGAAGAATACAATGACTAGTACAGTTTGATGGCCCTGCCTTGATTTGTAACCATATTTTTACAGTCTTTGCTTCTGTACCACAATGTTAGTGTCAACACAGTGAAAAGCAAATAACCACTAGTGTTATGATTAAAATAGGGGATCCCCCAACTCTGTGGACCACATTTTGAAAACCACTGCCCTCAGGTTAATTGGGGATGTGTGGAGTATGTTGAGCAGGTATATGGAACAGAGGAAAACCCTAAATTTAGTATTTGGGGAATCTTAGAGGGGAAAAAAAAAAAGTCTCTTGTGCTTTGTTTTCACTTGTTCTTTCAAAAGCAAATAAATAACTGCAGATGTGAGGAAAGGGTCAGGGAAAAAGGAGCACTTCTACTAAAAGCCCCTATTTCCTTGGGCTCATGCAGGCCTGGCAAAGTTCTGAATGTTTCTTTGTGTCTAGTAGTGCAAGGCATGCCTGAAAGGAAAGCCTGTGTTCTTGCCAAAGATGGCAAAGAGGAATGCATCAGGAGCACCAGTAGGCGGCCCCAAAGCAAGTGTTGGTGGAAGATGTAGGACACACCTCAGGATCAACAGCACCAGGAAGAACCAGAACTAGAAGACCAGTAACCAGTTGCCATCTAGTCAATTCTGACTCAAAATGATCCCTTTTGTACTAAAGTAGAACTGTACTCCTAAGGTTTTTGATGGCTGGTTTTTCAGAAGTAGATTGCCAGATATTTCTTCTGAGTTGCCTCTGAGTGAGCTTGAACCTCCAATCTCTTGGTTAGCAGCTGAGTGTATTAACCTTTGGCACCATCCAGGGCCTCCAGGACTGGAGGAAGGGTAAGAAAAACCCTCACAGTGGGAGAATAGCCCTGACATGCACAATAAACTTTTTTTTTTTATTATTAGGATTTGGGTGAAGATTTACAGAGTAAATTCACTTTTCATACAGCAGTTCACATATACTTTGTCTCATGTCATTGACCAAAATTTACAATGCA